CCCCAAAACCCCAAAACCCCATCTTAATGGATTTGTAAACTGTCTGAAAATCAATTTAGAAAAATTAAAACTCAAGTCTTTCAATTTCACATTACCAAATACATTTATCAAGATGAACTCTCTTTAACATCAAAAGTAGAATGACTTCATAACATCATCACCAATCTTATACTTTTCAACATCAACCTTATACAATATATAAAGACCTAGATATCTCTTAACATATGGTACCTATTCCTATACCACCCTATCATTACCACTAAACTTCTACTGAGGTAAAATACAGCAGCTCAAATGTTATGTTAAAAGCGAATCGTGGACTTTCTTTGGGTCTGATCTAGGTAATAAACTATTCTGCTTCTCTCCCTTCAATATCAAAATATCGTTACATTTGAGACCTTTTATTGCCTCTCTCAGGAAATTATCGGTGATATCAGCTACTTGAATTTAACCCTCCAATATGATGTCCATATTATAGCCACTCAATCTCATCGGATCATGAATATTTGGAATGTCATTTGGATTTACTTCCTTTTGCACAATTTTCGGTATTTGTTCTGGTTAAAGACCACGAGTCATAACCTATTCAAGTAAGTCTGTTGTTTTCTTGACATTTGGCCTAGCAAGACAATTTATAACTGCAAATCTATATATCTTCTTATATTCATGAAGTAAAGTAATTGCTCTATCAATTAGCTTAGAATCAAAATAGTTATAGTCTAATTTCTACCCTGATTTAGCACCTCTCCTTAGATTAAAACTCTATCTAATATTGGTTGAATTACTGCTACCAGAGACGTTTGAGTATTTATTTTATTCAGTTTTTATATTTGTTTGACCAGAACCTAGAAAATCGTCTGTATTAGGCAAATCACTATTAGCCAGCATTTGTATGTTATTATTCTTTCCTCCTCTCTTATTTTTTACTCCATCTTTATTATCAATTGTACCTTGATTCAAAGGAGCAGCAGCAGTATTCCTATCCTTTGAAGAATAATACTCTACACTTTCAATAAAATGTAGCCCATCAATAACAATCAAGCTAATATTTTTTTCACTTTTAAGGAAATTAGCCATACTTCTCACTGTAAGATTGAACTCAATTGCATCAAAACAGTTAAATATATAAAGATTGCTTAGGCATTATCTAACGAAATTGCGCTTATCATCAATTGCTCTACTTAATTAAGCCTATTCACTGAGCTGTCTGCCAGAATCATCGGTATAGTCAATGAATTCGTCAAGTTTATTAGCATCATAAAAAGCGCGGAGTTTTTCTGCAAATTATTAGACATTAAATGAGCCCTAAATATCTATGACAACAGCTCCTAATTCATTGGCATAATCAACTACTTTAATATTTTCGCCGGTTCCCCATTACTTCGGCATTATTGTGTACATAAGGATATCATTTACGAACTCTCTTTTTCCAATTGTATCATTGTAATGAATGTTAAGTACCTATTGCTTCTCCAAGCCACGCCCTTCATTTAAGATATAGGTATTTATGTGGTCATTCGAAGTCTAAAGATAAAAAGCCACCTAAGACTTCATAAAATCATATAGGTTCTCATCATACTCAAGATGATCAAAGTTTCTATTCGTAAGCAGCTGATTTGCTTATAACTTTCCATTTAATCTCTATGGACCAGTGCTAAATTGTGATTACATTTTAATATTTTAATATGATTATATAATTATATTTAATTGAGAGTATTAATCTGAATATTTATTATTACTTTATCATATCTGCAAGTCTCTATCATGGGGTTTTGGGGTTTTGGGG